TTTATATCTCAATGCATTGTTTTTCAATCATTTCAGTCAATTCATGTCACCTCAACTCATGAGCCAATTTCATTATTTTGTCAATTCATGTCACCTCAACTCATGAGCCAATTTCATTATTTTGTCAATTCATGTCACCTCAACTCATGAGCCAATTTCATTATTTTGTCAATTCATGTCACCTCAACTCATGAGCCAATTTCATTATTTTGTCAATTCATGTCACCTCAACTCATGAGCCAATTTCATTATTTTGTCAATTCATGTCACCTCAACTCATGAGCCAATTTCATTATTTTGTCAATTCATGTCACCTCAACTCATGAGCCAATTTCATTATTTTGTCAATTCATGTCACCTCAACTCATGAGCCAATTTCATTATTTTGTCAATTCATGTCACCTCAACTCATGAGCCAATTTCATTATTTTGTCAATTCATGTCACCTCAACTCATGAGCCAATTTCATTATTTTGTCAATTCATGTCACCTCAACTCATGAGCCAATTTCATTATTTTGTCAATTCATGTCACCTCAACTCATGAGCCAATTTCATTATTTTGTCAATTCATGTCACCTCAACTCATGAGCCAATTTCATTATTTTGTCAATTCATGTCACCTCAACTCATGAGCCAATTTCATTATTTTGTCAATTCATGTCACCTCAACTCATGAGCCAATTTCATTATTTTGTCAATTCATGTCACCTCAACTCATGAGCCAATTTCATTATTTTGTCAATTCATGTCACCTCAACTCATGAGCCAATTTCATTATTTTGTCAATTCATGTCACCTCAACTCATGAGCCAATTTCATTATTTTGTCAATTCATGTCACCTCAACTCATGAGCCAATTTCATTATTTTGTCAATTCATGTCACCTCAACTCAGGACCGTATTCATTGTTTTTCACTTGACTTATCTTTGGAGGGGGAGGGAAGACAAATATTATGCACAAGTCAAGGAAATGCTCGTTTTGAGATACACTTCCATAATCGATTCTGGAAATGTCAATATTTTTTTAAACTTTTTATTAACAAAGCTAGCTCTGTCACGACCCGAACCCGCCTCCATGGGTTACGGACATAACCGGCCAGTAATCCTAAGATGACCTACGGCCTCAAACCAAACAGACTTAACTCATCAGAGTAAAGGGGGCCAAACGGAAGCAGAATTTAAAACTTTGTCCATAGAGCTGTGCTTACATGGTACATCAAAACAAACCATACATATGTACATTAATAACTCACAACAGAAACATAGTGCCATAAGCTCTGTACAAACAGGATCATCCAAAACTAAGTCAACCCATGAAAACTATATACAGACAAATACAAAAACTTCGCCAACATGACAAAATATAAATACATAACAAAAGGGCGAAGGCAAGTCTCGTGCGTGAGACGCAAGGGCTGACTCTTCAAAACCTTTGTTGTTCTACACAAACTTCACTGGGGCTGGGTTTGGACTTCTCTTGGCTCACCTACAACCACATGAATGAGCGTGAGCGATAGCCTAGGGAATAATATCAATACAGAAGTTATACAACAATATGAACAACAATATGCTTCAAACGGCCTTAGGCCTAATTCATATTTCTATTTAACACATATGCACGATTTAATTCTAGTGGTTGTGGTTTCAAACATATTGGCCTTTAGTCCATTCAGACTTTCATTCATGACAAAACGGCCTCTGACCCATTCATTCATGTCAAAATGACCTTTGGTCCATTCATTTATGTCAAACGGCCTTCGGCCCACATTTATTATCAAATGGCCTTCGATCCACATTTATATCAAACGGCCTTCAGCCCATTCAATAACAAACTGGCCTTTGGCCCATGACAAGCTTTCATTTCAAACTGGTCCTTAGACCTTTCAAACGTTCATATCAAACTGGTCTTTCGACCTTTTAAACTTTCATTTCAAACTGGCATTTAAGCCTTTCAAACTTTCATTTCAAACTGGCATTTAAGCCTTTCAAACTTGTCATATCAAACTAGCATTTAAGCCTTTCAAACTAGCATTTAAGCCTTTCCAACTTGTCATATCAAACTGGCATTTAAGCCTTTCAAACTTGTCATATCAAACAGGCATTTAAGCCTTTCAAACTTTCATTTCAAACCGGCGTTTAAGCCTTTCAAACTTGTCCACCATTCAGTAGTAATGAACTTTACAAAACTTACACAGAAGTGAGCAATTGGACAACAACATATTTAAGATATTACTCACAATGATCGGCTTGTGGATTTGCCCCGGAGCTTGACCCTACACATCACATAGCACATATGGGTTACAAATAATTCAATTCGTTCTTTAATTCACATATTCCTCTTTAGGCTTCATTCTTATCTCTTTAATTCAATTACAATGCTCAATGTACGCCTAAGAGTGCTTAGAAGTGAAAGGGAACGGAAAAACAGAACACATAGTGCATTTCCAAAATTTCAGAAAACAGGGTCCCTGCTCGAGCGTGTACTTCCCCACTCGAGCAAACCCTTAAGACCTGCAAAAGTACTGGTTGCATGAAAAATGAGCTCAAGCGTGGTATAGGGCGCTCGAGCGAAATGCCTATCTAAGTAGCTCCCCCACTCGAGCGTGAACTACCCCGCTCGAACGGACACCAAGTCTACAAAAAGTACTAGGAGCACGAATTTCCCGCTCGAGCGTCACTTCCCCCGCTCGAGCGAACATCAAAATTCTGGGTTTTCCAGAACACATTCTTGAGTTCAATTTCGACATTCAAAGGCTTCAACTCATGATTTTGGTCCCAAAAGCATATTAACACATTATATTGCATGAGAGTGTAAGGTTATTACATCAATTTATTCAAAATCAACATCTAATTCTCAATCAACTCTCATTTCTTTATCATGAGCAAAAACCCATATGTTTCAAACTTCACATAGGCTTCGTTTCTTCAAAAATCAAACATGCATGCAGATTTTTGACTTCAATCCCATTTCAAAACATGCAAGTGACACCTCTTATTATGGAATCCATGAAAATTATACATGTATGTAAAGATTAACGCCCAAACCTCCATATTCAACATTATACATGCTAGCTCATACAAATTTCAAGCTTAAACATGCAATCCATGGCAATCTCCTACATGCATGTATACATTGACTCCCAATTCTTCAAGACGAACTCATTTCATATTCCTTAGCATCATTCAACCTTGAATTTGCAAATTACAAACAAAAAATCCATGAATCATTGGTTGGTTACTCACCTAGGAGCCTTAATCTTCCAACTCTAGTCAATTCTTGGACTTAATCTTCAAGATTCCCAAGTCTTGGGCCAAAACCACACAACTCTCTCCCTTCTCTCTCTAAGGCCGACCCTCTCTCTCTCTCTATTCTTGAGTTCAATATCAGCTAAAGTGTTAAAAAGGGGAGGAATTGAAGTGTAATGGCCCTTATGTATAAGCCCACTAGTCAAGTTTAATAATAATAAATAATATGGTGCTAATTCATTAACTAAATCAATTTAATTTGGCCCGAATCAATTTTTCAATTAAATTTCACCGTAGGCTCTAAAAATTATGCCAATCACAATGGCGCAATCAATTTCGGGTTCTGTGGCCGATAAGGCCTTCAATTTAATTTCCAAAGCAGATAATCCAACAGATATTCCTACGGTGAACAGATAGAAATTCAAAACCACATATTTACACACAATGGCACATGAAATCATATTAAACACATAATCACACTCAAATTAAGGACCAATTAGCATACTACGGAACAGGGGTGTCACAAGCTCCTTGAGGGTAAGGGTGGGGATGAGGATGCGGGTGGAGGTAGGATCAGGATGATTTTGGTTTGGATTTTGGGTCATTGTCACATCGTAGCTTATGTAATAAAATTAAGATATAGTAAAGAATGGAAGTTGGTTTTCAAGGAGTACCAAGTCATTGCATATTTGTTTTCTCATCCATGATACTTTGACTTCATCACCCATATCTTGTGGTTTATGTCTAACCTCAAACATACCAAGAGGAAACTTGGTAACAAAGCAAGCATCATATAACATCATTTTCACGAATTCATCACTGTTGATGTGGTCAACTGGGTCTGCATAATACTTGCGAGCTCATTTTTTCTAACTTCTTCGTGTAATCTAAGTAAGGCTTCACACTCTGATTGTTGTTACGTTAAAAGAGTGATTCCAAATAATGCTCTTTACGTTTTTGCATAGCAAGTAGTTTGGGTTGACCATGGTGATAAGGCTCTGTTGAAACTAGCTTAGGTGTGTATGCCTTTTCATTTGCTTGACGCAGTCCTTCATGCATCCTAAATATACAAGCTACTTCATTGGTCAAAGCTTCTCTTTTTTCAATGTTGATGATATGTTCTTCCATATTATTATCTATTAAATTTGAAGGAAAACGTGATATCACCGACCTAAAACATTAATTTATTTATTTATTTATTCTTATTATTTTGCATATGTAGAAGCAAATATTTTGTTTCACCGTATACAAATGTATACAAAAATTTAATACATGCAGACATTTATATTTATTAATTAGAAGTAAAAAAAAAATCTATTTTTATCACTAATAATTTATATGAAAATATCATTATCACATCATTTTGTATGAGTGTTTTTTTATAAAAAAAAAAAAAAAAAAAGTATGTGTTTTAGCATTTGTCACATAATTAAAAAGATAATAAAGTAGAAATGTTATATGCTACCAATCCAATGAGAGGTGGTATTTAAATCTAATCTCAAAGATTAGAAGTGAAAAGACTACTTTGTCCATCACTTTACCAAAATAACAAAATCACCTTCTATGTAACAAGAGTAATTACTAAATTCATAAATTTAATTCTAACTACCTAATGAAAAATTATACTACACAAACAAAAACAATTTTTCCCATATCATCTTAGTAATCTCCTTCACTCAATCTACTCATAATAATCGCTTCACCCAAACAATGGGGCCTTAAAAGTGAAAATGGGGCACAGCATAATTTACGCTATATTCTACTACTCTTTTTAAGTCCACAGCTTTTCTTGAGATTACAACCAGAATATACAAGGAATGTTGGGGCAATCGGGGAGAGAGAGAGAGAGTTCATACCATCGCCGATTACGCTTCTCCCTTGGCCATTGACCGTGAAGCTGGGGCTCATACCCAATAGTTCAGATGAGAGAGGGGTTTGGGCCATTTTCCTTGTGTAATTCTTCAATTTGTGTTCGCCATCGACAAGTCTATTTTTCTCTTTCTATGTCGCTTTGTGTTGCTCTTTAACTCCTTTTTGTATTGGGGGTTTGCCTTCTATTTCGTGTTGCAATTGCTTAATTAATTGATTTTAATTGTTTATTTAAACTCATTTTGTGACTCTCTCTCTCACACACACAAAAGTCAATCAACAATGACATTGTTAGCTGGGTGGGAATAAAATAATTTGTGCATCTACATAAAACTCTCTGCCTCAAGGAAAATTAACTCACAAGTTTAGAAAAACAATGGTAAGTAGATTGCACAAACTAAAACACTTTTAATAATTAAAAAGAAATATAAAATCAATCATAATCAAGACTCTCTTCAGGTATAATCAAAAATATTTTCAATAATAATCAAAATGGATCGTAACTAACACCAAAATGAGTCATTTGATACATAACTAAAATCTTGAGTTATTATTAAGTCATAACAAATATCACAATTGATCATAATTAAAACCACAAAAATTGTAACTAGCAAATACACTCTTTATTGGGAGTTTGTATTATAGAATTTGCCACGGCAATATGATATCCAGCTACAGTACCTAGCCAAGTGCATTGGCTCTACCAAACCTTCTCATCCAAAATCATGTGCATCGCACTAGGGCACTTGAAGCTTCACTTCTATATCTGGTACTCTTTCTATCTATCTATATCTTACACAATGTGCTTCATCTTTAAGCTTTTACAAAATTAGAAGAACTTTTTTTAAGAAATTAGGGATAGGGTTTTGTTCTTGCAAATAGTTTGACAGATTTTGACATTTTTGTTTTTTTGGAGGTCTTGGTTTGAGAGAAGTCTCAGGTGCTTTGTTTTCTTCAGATGAGTTTTTGGTGCTTGTTTCAAATTTCTATTCAATTTATGTCTTTTATATGTTTGACAAAATGTCAAAACCAAACATAATATACATGTTCCTCTTAGCCCTACACTCAACAAAGATAATAGAGGGGTGTTACTTGTAACCCAATTTGTGAAAGTAATGATACAATATTATTTATTGGGGGCTTTCCATTTTCTGAAAAGATGACGTGCTCTATGATGATAGGTGATTCTTACAATCGCGGAGAAAGAATAGACACTTGATTTGTTGGTTGGCTTGTTGTTTTTCTTGCTTTGCTTTGTTGGTTTCTCACCAACTGGAGCTTGGAGCTTGTGCTAGTTCCAAGCTCGTCTTTATTAATGTAATCTTCTTCTCATCAATAGAGATTTCTTTTGAGGATCAAAATGGAGAAAGAATAGACACTTCTTAATTTTGGGGCTGATCCGAACTTTGCGACAGAAGAGGTCTCCTATGAGGTAGGAACATCTGGGAATAGAGGAATAGTTTCTAGTCCAGCATATCATTGCAAGAAATGCCAGATAGTTGTTGCATTGCAAGAGAATATTGTGGATCATGTTTCAGGAGAATCACAAACATCCTTTGGGTGGCATAAGAAGAAAAGTAGCAACCCTTTCAACAAGTGTGATTAGATTGAGTGCTCATCCATCTTTTGTTGAGGCTCTACGTTTGATGACAACAAGTACAAAACTTTAGACCATTCCCTTCTGTTTTGTCTAGAATAAAGATGAATAAATAAACAAATTATGACAAGTGGCCAAAGATTTGGAGTCTTTGGTTTGGGCCCACATTTGATGGGTATATCCAAGAATCACGTTAATCAACGGTGCAACTTGTGAATGATGGTGTTTATGGTTTTGCTAATAGAACATCATTCCTTTTATCCTACTTTCATTATCAATGCTATTCATATTTGTTCAAATGAGAGCCCCATTTTAGGTTCATCTATTACTGCAGCACAAAGTCCCTATCTTTTGATTTTTGTTACCCCGTGGCACCAGTTGAAGAATGCGTTAGAGGGGAAGCTTTATATGTCCATTGCGAAGCTCTCTTGGATTACTTCAATTATTGGTCAGGCATCCAATGCAGTTGTGGCAGCTGGATCACCCCCACACTTTCAGCTCTATAAAAGCTGAGTTGACATAAACAGTGTCTGATATTTTTTGAGGCAGAATAGGTATGCCTATCACTTTGCTAGAAGATAGAAGACAGTAAAGAGGGGGCTTAAACGAACCCAACATCTACCTAGTAATAAACCTAAATTGCGGTACCAATAATATGAAAGCACAATTTTTGAGTTGAGGGTTGGATGTTTGAGAACTTGTTTGTAAGGAACTCCTGTTATGTCAATCACGTAACGTTTGCGAAGTTGTTTTCTTCCTTGAACTGGAATTGGACCTTTGCCTTTGGGGGAGTCATAAGCTGCAAAGGATCAAACTTCCGCTTTCTACTGGGCAAGCGAGACTGGTTGTGTTGAAATGTCATTTCTTTCATCTTCTCAATTGCCATTTCCCTCATTCGCTGCATTATGAAAGGATCGATTGCTTGCATTTTGCATGATGGCTTTGACAATCGCCAGCTAGGTAGTGATGCTGTAAGTGCCTGGCCTTCTCTTCTTTTCTTTTTTTTTAATCAGCAAAATAAAGCTTTATTGATGAAAAATATACAAAGTATGATAAAATACGTCAATAAAAAGGCGAGTGCAAAAGTATCACAGTGAACCATCAAGATCCCAACTAGGTTGGCACCAAGATGAATACCAAATCATCTGCTCATAGTATGTGGTTTAAGTCATATGATTTTTTTAATTTTCATATTCAAATTTATAAAGTTCTATTTGGTTTGGTTTTCAAAATCTATTTTCATAATTTTTTTACAAAAAAATTAAAAATTAAATTGGTGAAAAAAAATTAAAAACACATCATTTTTATATAATTTTACTTTGCTAGAAGATAGAAGACAGTAAAGAGGGGGCTTAAACGAACCCAACATCTACCTAGTAATAAACCTAAATTGTGGTACCAATAATATGAAAGCACAATTTTTGAGTTCAGGGTTGGATGTTTGAGAACTTGTTTGTAAGGAACACCTGTTATGTCAATCACGTAACGTCTGCGAAGTTGTTTTCTTCCTTGAACTGGAATTGGACCTTTGCCGTTGAGGGAGTCATAAGCTGCAAAGGATCAAACTTCCGCTTTCTACTGGGCAAGCGAGACTGGTTGTGTTGAAATGCCATTTCTTTCATCTTCTCAATTGCCATTTCCCTCATTCGCGGCATTATGAAAGGATCAATTGCTTGCATTTTGTATGATGTCGTTGACAATCGCCAGCTGGGTAGTGATGCTGTAAGTGCCTGGCCTTCTGTTTTTTGTATATGGTTTATCTTTTCTTTTTTTTTAATCAGCAAAATAAAGCTTTATTGATGAAAAATATACAAAGTATGATAAAGTACGTCAATAAAGAGGAGAGTGCAAAAGTATCACAGTGAACCATCAAGATCCCAACTAGGTTGGCACCAAGATGAATACGAAATCATCTACTCATAGTATGTGGTTTAAGTCATATGATTTTTTTAATTTTCATATTCAAATTTATAAAGTTTTGTTTGGTTTGGTTTTCAAAATCTATTTTCATAATTTTTTTACAAAAAAATTAAAAATTAAATTGGTGAAAAAAAATTAAAAACACATCATTTTTATATAATTTTACCTTTTGGGAGGTATAAATAATTTTTAAAAATAATTTTTTTTGATATTCATTTCGTTAAATTAGAATTTATTTTTTCAAAAGTCAAATATTACAAAAATTTTGATGTCATTATTAAACCAATCCATTAAATCAAAAAATTCAAAACTAAAAACATTTCATATATTAAACATATTGATTACACATTAAAAGCCTAATAATCACCCATTGCATGATAACAATCCAAAAATATTTATTAACAATAAATACAACCATCTATTATATAATAATCATCCAAAAAATCAACAAAAACAATCACTCATGACATGATCATCATTCAAACACATACTAAAAATTAAATTGGTGAAAAATTAAAAAATAAATAAAATTGTAAAAGATTTATCATTTTTATATGATTTTATCTTTGGTAGATAGAAATCATTTTTAAAATTTTAAAAATAATTTTTTGACTTTATTTTTGTCAAACTAGTTTATATTTTATCAAATTGACGATTTTACCCTTGAAATGGAGTCAGGGCTGGCCCTGAGGGCAAACAAGAGAGACCTGCGCCTTGGACTCCCAAATTTGGGTTGAAAATAGGGGTCTTCAAATATAATTTTATGTTTTAGATATAAAAAAAAAAGTTCAAATACTATAGGCCCAATTAAATATGGGACCTAAAAAAAAGTAACAAGACTAAATTTTTATTTTTTTTAAGTATTTTTAATGATTGCTTCCTATCTTAATATATGAAAGTAAATTTTTGTTTACAATTTTAATAATTATATGTGCAAGTAAATTTTTCTGTGATGACAAACAAATAAAAAAGTTGTAACTTTATTTTATACATGAATTTTTTTTTTCAATGTAAGAGGGCCTTATTTCTGAAGTTCGCCTTGGGCCCCCCTAAATCTCAGGGCCGGCCCTGAATGGAGTAACAGTGTCTTCAATTGTTCTTATTTGAAACGTGATTCAAAATTTAAAATCAAATGTATCACAATTAAAAAGTCATGGACGAAAGTGATACAAACCCTAAACTATAAGACCGTTAGTGTAATTCACCCTATTACAAAACTAACTATATATAAAGAGTTCAAAAACAACTAATATCATTCTAACATTAACACACTTTCTTTCCCCGGAACTTTTAAACTGTATTTGATTCATGAATTTAAAGAGAAATATTGAAAGGAAAAAAGAAAATATGTGTAAGATTATATATATATATATATAATGTAATTATATTTCATTCATATTTCACTATTTTTTTTTCTTTAAAAAAAAATTTCAAATTCATAAACCAAATACAGTTGGTAAAAACTACTAAAACATTAACATATACCATAATACCACTCATTCATTAGTTGCAAAATTAACCAATCATAACTTAATGTAGGAAAAGTATAACTCTCAAATAAAGAAAATAAAACAAGTTTATTATTTTTCAGCACTACTCCAAGAAGTCTTTGGGTATGTCTTCCCACTTCAGTTATGATTTGGAGTTGATGTTGGAGTTGGAGACGGAGGTGGATGAGGAGGACTTGTAGCATTTGCCCTACGACGAGGACCACCAAGAGGATCGCAATGCCCCAAAAAGTGACACAACAAATGACGAGTCCAACTTCCGTCTGCTATTCTTGGTTTACTTCCATGCACTTCTAATTTGAGGCTACCCCTAAGTTTGCTCCTTTGCTCTTCTTCTACGTACACTTCACAAAAAAAATATATATGTATATATTATTGTACTTGAAAAAATGGAAAATATGTATGTATATAGTTTAATCGAGCATATTGCTGTTGATAAAGTAGAATGGTAACAAATAAAAATAAAATCTTTATGTTACTGACCCCACTTAATTGGAACACAAAACTTGATTTGGTTTGGCTCATACCAACAAAAACTTTATATACAATATTCGGGCAAAATTGCACTATAGTTCGTAGTTTGTATTTTGTGTCAATTTCATCTTTATAGTTATTCTTGCATCAATTTTACTCTTGTTTTTTTAAAATTATGTTAATTTAATTTGATTGATAAAGTTCTTTTAAAAATTAGACTAAAATCAAAATAATTAATTCACTCTCAAAATTATTGAGGGGTTGCCGTCCATTTAGTCTATTCCCTTTTGAATTTTGTTCATTTTTTTAATGCATAGTTCGTAGTTTGTATTTTGTGTCAATTTCATCTTTATAGTTATTCTTGCATTAATTTTACGCTTATTTTTTTAAAATTATGTTAATTTAATTTGATTGATAAAGTTCTTTTAAAAATTAGACTAAAATCAAAATAATTAATTCACTCTCAAAATTATTGAGGGGTTGCCGTCCATTTAGTCTATTCCCTTTTGAATTTTGTTCATTTTTTTAATTCATGATATCAATTAAATTAAATTAACATAATATGAAAAATTAAATAACTAAATTGAAACTAAATTCTTTTGCAAAACGATGCCATTAATTTAAATCTTATTGCTTTGAAGCAAAGATATGTAATTCTCTCCTGTTAGAAAATCTAGTTCAATTTCAACTAGACTATCAAGTGTGGTCCATTATAGGCTCCTATCAAGCTTGTTTCAATAATTCAAAATGCTTATTTTGTAAAGTTCATTTGAAGAGATCATACAAACAAAAACAATTGTGACAGAGACTCTCATACATACATAACCCTCACAACCTCCACTCTCATCCCAACTACTCATAATGTGGGGCCTACACATATATGAGTGGACCCCACACACACATTAAGGGCCAAAATCAAATTGGGGAATATGAAACCCCCAAAAAAGGGAATTCCAACATTTCTCCATACAAAATATAGGCCAATTGGACATCAAATCACTCATCCGTTAATTATTTTTTAGACAAATATAAATTTATCAAATAGCTCTTGATGTCCAATTAATCTAATTTTTGGTAGGCATGATCTCTTCGGAGGGTATTACAAAATGAACAATTTAAATTATTAAAAAAAACTCAATAGGATCAAGGTGTGTCCGACTGAGTTGTTCAATTAGATATTCCAACTAGAAAGAATCCATGATCTCTTCACCATGTTTAGTGGTTTGCGGCAATGAGGATTTCAGGAGTGGAGGAGAGTTCGGAACGAAGGTGACTCACAGCGGTAGGGGTTCGTCAAAGGGTCTTGCATTGGGGGCAGGGGTTTACTATGGTTGTGGCCATTGTAGTTTAGGGGTGGTGGCTAGGGTTAGGCTTAGGGGGAAGAATTGAAAAAGGTATGTGTATTTTTGTTGTAATGAGATATTTAGGTTGTGTTTGGTTAAAAGATTTAACAAGAGAAAGGGAAATAGAAAGAAAATGAGAGGGACTGAGTTTTGATACATTCCCTATTTTATTACCCCCAATTGAGCATCTCCAATGGGGCTCTCAAAACACTTGTCAAAACTATAATTTAGCAATAGTGATAAAAAGCGAATCTCTAATGGCTTACTATTTTATTTGCCAAAAATGGCATATGCCATATCTATTCTCAAATTTGGCAAGTAAAATAGTAATTACCAAACATGCCACATCAGCAAACATGAACATATTTGTGGCTCCAAATTCAGTTGAAAAAACAGAATTGAAACAATAGAAAACCAAGTAATTTTTCAAATTTAATTTTTCTATTTAATTTTTCAAATTGAATTATATTTAATTTTTTTTTCAAATTTTTTTCATTTTTTATATTTGTCTAGTTGGGAATAATATAAATATATAATTTTTTTTTACAAGTAGTTAAAAAAAATGTCATAAAAGACAAAAAATAAACAAAAATAAAACCACAAAAAAAACCTATTTCCAAATAACACTTACAAACTTGGATGGAAAGTTGGTTGAGAATTGCCAAAATAGCAAGTGATTATTGGAGCACCATTGCTATAATTTGACAAAATAGCATTATTCATTGTCAAATTATAGCAATAGCAATGGTATTATAGCAACAACCATTGGAGATGCTCTGATGAGATAGCAAATAATACCAACCAATCAATCTTCCTCAAACTCTTTTCTCTCCTTTCAAAATTGTATGGCAAACAATACCAACCAATCAATCTTCTTCAAACTTTTCTCTCTCATTTCAAAATATTTTGTCACTTCATTAGAGGTGCAATTGGAAGTGATGAAATAGCAAATGGGGCATTTCTCAACAAAAAAAAAAATTGATGGGATTTGAATTCTAAATCATATTCGGTTGAGTTGAGAAATGGAGAAATAAAAGAGGCTACGTGAAATCAAAAACAAAAAGTATAATTGCATTTTTCTCTCATTTTCTTTTTTCCGGTGTTTTTCATTATAACTAAATAACAAGTGAAATTATATTTCCCTTTTTTCTTTTCTTTTTTTCCATCAAATCTTCTAACTAAACACAACATTAGAAAAATAGTGTGTTTGATAAGCTTAAGTGTGTATATCAAGAAAGAGATATGCACAGAGAGAGTATTTATGTGTGAAAATAGAAGGGTGCATTTGGTTGAGTTTTAGAATCAATTGTTTAAAATCCAAAACCTTTAAAAGCCTTATTTTGAATCCAAAATCCAAAACCCAAAATTTGTTTTGGTTTCAAGCTTTCATAAAATTGTTTGGTTTTCAGGTATTCGTTAAAAATATTTTATATTTTAAACACACATGATCTAGATATACATAAACAATAAACAAACTATAAAAACAAATCAAAAACAAATTATAAATACATAAAAAATTAAAATTATATTAACGTTTAAACTCGGTCAATTTTTTTTTATATATATTTTTCAATATGCAGGAATTTTATAATTTTTTTATTGTAAATGTGAAATATTTTAAATATAGATTCAGTGGATATAAACTAGAAAAGAAATGTTAAGATTTTAAAAAGTTCATAAAAATAAAAAAATACAGAGTGAAATTTTACCCTATGAATTACATTAGATGTATTTAAAAAGTACATTAGGTATATGAAAAAAATAAATAAATTTGACTATATATTACAAAAAAGTTCTGACTACAATACAAGACTCAAAAAACTCAAAAACTAGTTTGGAAACTCATAACCTAACAAGTTGTGAATTTTTAAATTTCTAAAAATTATTTTCAAAATATACAACTCAAAAATTTGAAAAATTATAATCAAACAAATTTTAAATTTTCAAAACTATTTTTACAAAATTATCTTTCAAAATTCATTTTCAAAACTCAGCCAAACGCACAAGTTTCTTGAAAATTTCATGAGAAAATCTATTTACACATGACACATTTTCTCAATACCCACCATTTGTTAAGTCTTTTTCAATTCAATTTTATCCCTTACTTAAATTACCCATCAACCTCACGTCCTGTCACAATCATGACCTTTGGTTCTAGTTCCAGTTATGGTGCCACCCGCTCGCCTCCTCCTTCTCTCCATCTTCTTCTCTCATCTCTTTTTCTTCTTCTTCTGCAACTCCGCACCGCGGCCCCATCATGGCGGCAACTCGTGCTGTCATTTCCTTCACCGCTGACACTACAACTCATATCTCTTCCACCCTAGTCGCCTCTCTCCAACCCCATTGGCCGCCCTCTGCCGCAACCCATCATCTAGATCCCCTCCATAGCGTGCCTCAGCTCCTCCACTCCACCATTCAACATGCAGTTGTGAGAGAGAGAGAGAGAGAGATTTGGGTTTCTAGATCTAAGATTTGAAGAGTAGAAGAAGAAGAAGGGGTTATAGGTGGAAACAGAAGGATAGAGAAGCTAAAATGGGGGAGGGAATAGCAGTGGAGTAGGGATTTGCAAAGGACGGGCAGCGACGGAAGGGGATTCGGAGGGGCGACACCGGCGGTTGATGGCTTAGCGGCGGTAGTAGTGAGAAGATGTTGGGATTTAAGATTAAAGTTGGGATGGGGAAGATGAAGATGGAAAGGGATGGGTCACCGAAGTTGGGGATGGCAGAAGAGGTGTGGCCGAAACTGGTAATGGCTGCAACGAGAAGAGAAGAGGGTGGCGATTGGTGGTCGACAGCCGACGTTGGGCAAGGGTTAGGGTTAGGTTTGTTGGAAAAGATGAAGGTAATTTGGTACTACTATATGCATCTCTCCAAAAGATATGGGAGCTTCTATTTCCACACACCGCTTCCTCCTTCTACATCTTTTCTTAACACATACACCTAATAAATTTAAATTATTATTATTCACTTACACTATGTTTGGGAACTTAGGAGAGAAAAGAAAAGAAATGATTACTTAAGTAATAAGAGAAAAGAAAATAAATGATTTGATTTGATTTCTCTCCTTTTTGTTTGGAAAAGGAAGAAGTAAAAGAAAAGAAATGATTGCGATTTCTCTCATTTTTGTTTGGTTAGATTTCATTAAGAGAAAAAAAAAGAAATTATTTTATGTTATATTACCAAAATAATCTTTTTATATTTTCAATCATTTTATTTCTTTTATTTTTATAGGAACAAAATTGATATTATGAAAATAGTGGTTTCTTTTCTTTCTCAATCTCTCCACTTTGGGAATATTGAAAATGAGGCTTACAAGAGAAATGAGTTTCTCTCAATTTCTCTCAATTTCTTCCCATTTCTGCTAAACTTAAGTTATTCAAACAAATAAGAGAAATACATACCACT